GTGGAAACACCTGTATAAAAATTTAAAGGATATGTACATATTGGTATATTAACAAATACATAATGCTTGCAATATGCTAACAACTGTTCTAAGCGCTTTTCACATATAAATACATTTAATCTGCACACAGCCCTATAAAGTAGATATTATTACCCTTATTTTACCGATGCAGGTAAAAAGACATTTTTACTTGCTCCAAATTAAATGTCACAGGAAGTAAAGAGTAGAGCTGGGACTCAAACTCAAGAGTTGGGCACCAGAGAAAGTGCTTTTTACCTTTTATAAGCATTTAAAAATCATTTTGGAAGGGCATACACAAGAGTTGATTGTGATCACCTTTGGGGAGCAGGATTAGTAATGGAATATGATTAGAGGAAGGTCGTCACATTTCTTCCTGGATTTTTTGACATGTATTACTTTAAAAAATATATTACGTGGTTATCTAGGTAGTGAACTTCATGGTCATTTTGAGGTATTTTACTTCATTTTTTTCTGTATTAAAAAAAATCCTACTCAATGTTCTTTAATAAATCTATGATGTGTAACAAGAAGAAAAGTGGCTTGCCCTGAGCTATTATTAACAAGAGGAGAGACTAAGGCCACGTAAAAACAATGGGAGTGCAGAGTCCTGTTAGATTTACTATTAGCTTGCCTCTGATCAGGAGTTATTAAGCTGAAGTATATTCCATTGTTAGATCCCTTAGAGTAAAATTACACCTAGCCCCTCCTTTCAGGAAGCTTAAAATCATTAAAAACAATTTTTAAGGCCAACACTATTAAAAAGACACAAAAATGGAAGGTGGAAAAACAATAAGATAATCTGATTCCTTCATGTAAACACTGATCTCTCGTGAGATACTTAGGACCAGTCTAAATAAATTGCTGATGCCAAAGTAAATTACTTAAATCAAAATTAAATTTTTAAAAAGCAAAAGTATTGTTGAGGTTCTTTGTTTTTCTCTAGATTTATTTAAATATTTAGAGTACAGTGCTAATAAAGTCAAGGTTGAAATTCCAACCTTGCTTTAAGAAACCATTTATTTTGGCTAAAGAAACTATTTAATAGTTGAACTGCAGCCGTAACCCCTGTGCTGGGGCCATAGCCGAGGGAACAGAGGGGGCAAATTCAATGGCACAAGTGAAAAGACAAAAAACCCTGTGCCCACAAGTGTCTAATTAATGTTGGGTCAGCAACTGAGATAGAAACAGCAGCCGTAGACACATATTTAGTGTGTACACACTCCTATTTGATGACCACACATCTTGTTTCCTTTCATTCTGAAGTGTCCTGCTTTGGACCATAACTCAACTTCTAAGTGCTTTATATATAGTAACACACTTCACCCTTGAAACCACCTGACAGAATGTGTATTGTCACCTTTCTTTACAGATTGGTGGTGTCACCTCTGCAATCACAGGAAAATATAATCAATTACATTATTAGAAAGTCATAGTACAGTTATGTTAGGCAATTTAAAACCATTATTTCAAGTTTTAACAAGCATATATCCATGCATTACATGCTCTAATTTTTTAAAAAGACCACTAAACACTGTCAAAACCAACAGGCTCTATTAAATGGAAAGTACAGCCACATCCAGCACCCCCCTCCCCCCTTCATCCCCCATCTGTTGCTCTGGTATATCAATATATCTACCTAATGTTTTCTGTATTGCAAAAAGGGCTTCTGAAATGATTTCTATTAGGGTACTAACACTGTTTAACACCCTTTAAATTAACACATACAAAAGACAAACTGTGAACATAGCTTAAATTAGCAATGACAACATCTAAACTGCTTTCCAGCTGGCCAAGATGCTGGGGTGCAACAGGGGAGGAGAAAGAATGGCTTTGCCAATAACTGGCTATGTGACAATAAGTCACTGACTTCACCAGACCTCTATTTTTCCATCTATAAAATTAGTGTGTTGGTGATAATATCCACAGTTCAGATAACAATAGAGTATTTCTCTCCTTCTCTCTGAGGCAGGGCAGTTCCTCAAGGTAATCCATGTGTCTTTGTGCTGGGTGCAGGAAATAAAGAGCCTGTCCTCCAAGAGTTCCCAGTTCAATTAGATAGTCAGGCCCATGTGTAAGGATCACATGAGGGCACAAAACCTTGCAAGGCGCCTCAGATTCAGATTTTTAAGGGACAGATCCTGGTACTCCTCCAAGAACTTTTCAGGAGAATGAGTGAGATATTGAAGCCACCCTCTTCTCAGTCTTCTCCACTGTCATCACCCTAACCCAGGCCCACCTCATCTCTCACTTGGAATGTCTCACATTGGCCTCCCTGCTTCCACTCTTGCTTTCCTAGAATCCATTCTCTACATAGCAATCCAGAATGATCTAAAAGATGTATCAGATCACAAACTCTTCTACTTAAAATCCTCCAATCATTTCCAAGTACCAATGGAAGGCAAATCAATCTTTCCATGGCCTATAAGGCTTGTTTATTTTTTCTAACCTTTTGTGTCATACCCCTCCTGGTCCACCTGGCCCACCTGGCTCCAGCCCCCTCATCTTCCCTGGGGGAGAAGAGCTTGTTTTCACCTCAGGCCTCTGCACAACAGTTGTCTCTATCTGGAACACTTTCCCGGAACACAAGTCTTTACAGAGCTGACCCCGCAGGTCTCACATTAAATGTCACTTGAGAGCGACCACACCTGACCACCCTATTTTAACCTGCCTGCTGGCAGCCCTCCCCATTACTCTCTCTTACATTCTATCCAGTTCATTCTCAGAACTCAATTAACTTTAGAAATTATGTTGGTTTTTTTTCAGAAATTATCTTATTTACCGATTAATTGCATACAATTCCTTCTCTCCCCCAAGGAGTAGTCAGGCCTTCCTCTGTAGTTTACTGCTGTAACCAGCACCTGGCATTGTGCCTAAAAGGTATGCAATAGATTCTTGTTGGCCTATCACACATATCTCATTTCTGCTTGATTTTTACCAAAATCTCAGTTGAAGAAAACCACATTTATAGAGAACTGCCTGAAGGAGTTGTAGTTCATTCTTTCCTGTATGGTGTAGATATTCTTAAAGCAAACGAGCAAAAAAAATTTGCTCTGAATTAAGGCAGACCAGCAAAGCTATTTGCCTAAACCACACAGTCTACTGGCTTTAGAATGCTGTCTAACTTATGGGTTAGCCTTCTCTGTCCTACTAAGTGATGTGCCAAGAAACAGCCCACTGATCTTCAGTGCTGAAAAGTTAATGATATGAACCGGCTTTTCTTCTTAAGCACCCCAAAGATAAGCTTTTTCTCTCATGTTTAAATCACAAAAAACTGCTTGTCCTGGTTATCTAATATTGCCTTCTCTCATAAACACTGGATCACAGAATGGACCAGCTCCTGCCGCCTGGTATGAACTGCTAGAGAAACAAGAGCTCCGGCAGGTTTCTCAGTAAGTGCACCGGGCTTTCCCCTGGCATTGTGAGGATCACCCCCACTCTAACTTCCTTTTCTCCTAGTCTCCATGTTCTTGTTGCCCTGCTTCCGCACCCATGTATTTTATGTTTATGATGGTAAGCTGCCTTAAATATTTTCTAGAATAAGCCAAATAAGTATTAAGGGCTACAGCAGCAGTATACATGAAATAACATGGTCACAGGTAAAGATAAGCTGGTTCTAGGAAAGAGAAAAGGGGGTAAATGGGTAGGCCTTGAAGACTAAGTGGGTTGTCCCCAGGCAGCGCAGGGCCATCCTGCACATTAAAGAGGAAAAGTCACCGTTCTCACCTAGGGAACGTGCAGGAGCCGAGCACACCAGCTCTTCCTGCACTTCGTCCTCAGAACCACCCTAGGAGGTCGATTTTGTCATTATGCCCACACGAAGCATGAAACTGAGGCCCAGGGAGGTGAATTAACCCGCACGAGGTCCGACAACTTGCAAGTGGGGGTTCCCAGCCTCTGCGGATGTGGGGGCGCCCCTGACTGCAGTAACTTTACTAGGCCGCACCGTCCCTTCTCGCCTCCTTTGGAGCCCTCCGCCTCAGAAAACAGAGAAGTTGCACTAACAAGCACAGTCACTCACTCGGAACCTGGGGTACCCTTGGTCTTTCCCTCTGCTGGGTCGCTCAAGTCCTGGCCCCCTCCCTC